ACAAGCTTACGTTGTGGGCCAGCCCGGAACGCCTACGAGATGTAGCCTTGTGAAACGAAATGTAGCCTGATTAAATTGTAAGCCATCGTGTCGTAAACCAAGGTTTGAAGCCAGTTGTTCACAATACAAGGACGCTGTTCAACATAACACAATCAATTCTCACGTATCCAATTTCAAACAAAACCTTTACATTATGACAGCGGTCTGTATATAATCGAGTCTGGATCAGACAATTCCGTGATTGCCATCATGCGCATCGAGCCCCGCAATTGGGATCGATGACATGCATCTACCAAGTCAGCGAGCCTGACCATCCGATCCCGTCAGTCGCCTCTTACGACAAGCATAGTCGCTTATCGTTGAGTGTTTACAGTCGTTATTTATGAAACATACGATATCTCTCACTGACAATAGTTCACATTTGTTAAATTACATGGGATTCAGTTGTCTAATAAATCGTCTCAAGCTGTCAACTCTGGCAGTCCATTAAAACACGTAAATCATGTGAATAAAAAAAATAATCAATCAAACTGTATTGAAAGATAAATAATTTATTGGACCGCTTCCCGACTGTTTGTAATGAAACCGATACAATGCATATGCTTGTCGTTTGAAAATAATGACATGGCTTTTTGTTCGACTAAAATAAGATTCATGGTGACACAAACTGCCATGACTCACAGCACAGTGTTTTCTTGCCCGGGGATAGTGACACAAAGGCTACTAAAACAAAATATATTTAGTAGTAAGTACTTCATGGACTTACATTACCATAACAAGACTTTAGAATGCAAGCTATGTACTATTAACTTGGTAGAATGGTTTAGAATGCAAGCTATGTACTATTAGCTTGGTGGACTGGTTTAGAATGCAAGCTATGTACTATTAACTTGGTAGAATGGTTTAGAATGCAAGCTATGTACTATTAACTTGGTAGAATGGTTTAGAATGCAAGCTATATACTATTAACTTGGTAGAATGGTTTAGAATGCAAGCTCTGTACTATTAGCTTGGTGGACTGGTTTAGAATGCAAGCTATGTACTATTAGCTTGGTGGACAAATTAAGAATGCAAGCTATGTACTATTAGCTTGGTGGACGGGTTTAGAATGCAAGCTATGTACTATTAGCTTCATAGAATGGGTTAGAATGCAAGCTATGTACCATTAGCTTGGTGGACAAGTTTAGAATGCAAGCTATGTACCATTAGCTTGGTGGACTGGTTTAAAATGCAAGCTATGTACCATTAGCTAGGTGGACTGGTTTAGAATGCAAGCTATGTACCATTAGCTTGGTGGACTGTTTAGAATGCAAGCTATGTACCATTAGCTTGGTGGACTGGTTTAGAATGCAAGCTATGTACCATAAGCTTGGTGGACTGGTTTAGAATGCAAGCTATGTACTATTAGCTTGGTGGACTGGTTTAGAATGCAAGCTATGTACCATTAGCTTGGTGGACTGGTTTAAAATGCAAGCTATGTACTATTAGCTTGGTGGACTGGTTTAAAATGCAAGCTATGTACCGGAAGCTAAGTGGACTTGCTTAAAATGCAAGCTATGTACTATTTTCAATACACTTCTTATATCGATAGTGAAGCTTTTCAATTCCAGTCAGGAAGAAGTTTTCTGAAGCCACTCTGAAATACCCATTCACGGCAGCTTTGAGGTCATCGTTGTCGTCAAAGCGCTTTCAACGAAGGTGTTCTTTCAGTTAAGGAATCAAGTGGAAATCACTTGGTGCCAGGTCTGGCTAGTATGGAGGGTGAGGAAGCTCTTCGAACCCACATTGTCGCACAGCAGCCTTTGCAAGTCGATGTCAGTTCTTTTCTTTCCTTACGATCAAAATTTAGAAATTTGGCACCCAACAAGCAGATATCCTATTCATCTGTAAATGTTTATGAATAGTAGTTTCAATGGATACATGAGTTGGACCTGTGTTTTCCTCAAGTTCAGCAATGGTAATACGTCTATAATGACAGTATGAGTTTTTCTATCTCCTAGATTGAACTTCATTGATGGACGTCCAGACCTTGGGTTATCACCAAGGCTTGTTCTCCCAGCCTCAAACATAGCTGCCCAACGTTTAACAGTGGAACAGCTAGGGCACTTTTCCCCATATTAAATAACAATAACTTAATGACTGCTCGGTAGTTGTTTTTTTCCATTTCTGTGTCCATTTTGACCTCTACCCCGTTCAACCCGGGCGAAGATCCGGGGTAGAATAGGTTTCAGCGACCCATGCTTGCCGTAAGAGGCGACAAACGGCATCGGATGTCAATCACTGGATTGTCTCGATTATACACAGACCGCCGTCATATAGCTGGAACCTATCATGTTCAACTCACTCATACACAAACAACCTCAAAAGACCAAATCCACTTGCAATGAACTACTCAAACAATGCACTACATTAACTACTTCGTTATGGCCCTAAATTATTGACCAGCTTGTATTGACCTTATGGTACTCATCTGTAACTTAACGGCGTGGTTTACCTAACAGTACTTGTCTGTATTGTGACAGTGTGGCTTACCTTACAGCACTTGTCACATTGTGGCTTACCTTACATCACTTGTCACAGTATGGCTTACCTTACAATACTTGTCTATAGTGTGACAGTGTGGTTTACCTAACAGTACTTGTCTGTATTGTGACAGTGTGGCTTACCTTACAGCACTTGTCACATTGTGGCTTACCTTACATCACTTGTCACAGTATGGCTTACCTTACAGTACCTGTCTGCAGTGTGTCAGTGTGGCCTACCTTACAGTACCTGTCTGCAATGTGTCAGTGTGGCCTACCTTACAGTACTTGTATTTAGTGTGACAGTGTGGCTTACCTTACAGTACTTGTCTGTAGTGTGACAGTGTGGCCTACATTACAGTTCTTGTTTGTAGTGTTACAGTGTGGCTAACCTTGCAGTACTTGTCTGTAGTGTGACAGTGTGGCTTACCTTACAGTTCTTGTCTGTAGTGACAGTGTTGCTTACCTTACAGTATTTGTCTGTAGCGTGACAGTGTAGCTTACCTTACAGTACTTGTCTGTAGCGTGACAGTGTGGGATACCTTACAGTACCTGTCTGTAGCGTGACAGTGTGGCCTACCTTACAGTACTTGTCTGTAGCGTGACAGTGTGGCCTACCTTACAGTACTTGTCTGTAGCGTGACAGTGTGGCCTACCTTACAGTACTTGTCTGTAGCGTGACAGTGTGGACTACCTTACAGTACTTGTCTGTAGCGTGACAGTGTGGCCTACCTTACAGTACTTGTCTGTAGCGTGACAGTGTAGCTTACCTTACAGTACTTGTCTGTAGCGTGACAGTGTGGCTTACCTTACAGTACCTATCTGTAGCGTGACAGTGTAGCTTACCTTACAGTACTTGTCTGTAGCGTGACAGTGTGGGATACCTTACAGTACTTGTCTGTAGTGTGACAGTGTGGCCTTCCTTACAGTACTTGTCTGTAGCGTGACAGTATGGCCTACCTTACAGTACCTGTCTGTAGCGTGACAGTGTGGCTTACCTTACAGTACTTGTCTGTAGTGTGACAGTATAGCTTACCTTACAGTACTTGTCTGTAGCGTGACAGTGTAGCTTACCTTACAGTACTTATCTGTAGCGTGACAGTGTGGCTTACCCTACAGTACTTGTCTGTAGTGTGACAGTGTGGCCTACCTTACAGTTCTTGTTTGTAGTGTTACAGTGTGGCTAACCTTGCAGTACTTGTCTGTAGTGTGACAGTGTGGCTTACCTTACAGTTCTTGTCTGTAGTGACAGTGTTGCTTACCTTACAGTACTTGTCTGTAGCGTGACAGTGTAGCTTACCTTACAGTACTTGTCTGTAGCGTGACAGTGTGGGATACCTTACAGTACTTGTCTGTAGCGTGACAGTGTAGCCTACCTTACAGTACTTGTCTGTAGCGTGACAGTGTGGCCTACCTTACAGTACTTGTCTGTAGTGTGACAGTGTGGCCTACCTTACAGTACTTGTCTGTAGCGTGACAGTGTGGACTACCTTACAGTACTTGTCTGTAGCGTGACAGTGTGGCCTACCTTACAGTACTTGTCTGTAGCGTGACAGTGTAGCTTACCTTACAGTACTTGTCTGTAGCGTGACAGTGTGGCTTACCTTACAGTACCTATCTGTAGCGTGACAGTGTAGCTTACCTTACAGTACTTGTCTGTAGCGTGACAGTGTGGGATACCTTACAGTACCTGTCTGTAGTGTGACAGTGTGGCCTTCCTTACAGTACTTGTCTGTAGCGTGACAGTGTGGCCTACCTTACAGTACCTGTCTGTAGCGTGACAGTGTGGCTTACCTTACAGTACTTGTCTGTAGTGTGACAGTATAGCTTACCTTACAGTACTTGTCTGTAGCGTGACAGTGTAGCTTACCTTACAGTACTTATCTTTAGCGTGACAGTGTAGCTTACCTTACAGTACTTGTCTGTATCGTGACAGTGTGGGATACCTTACAGTACTTGTCTGTAGTGTGACAGTGTGGCCTTCCTTACAGTACTTGTCTGTAGCGTGGCAGTGTGGCCTACCTTACAGTACTTGTCTGTAGCGTGACAGTGTGGCCTACCTTACAGTACTTGTCTGTAGCGTGACAGTGTAGCTTACCTTACAGTACTTGTCTGTAGCGTGACATTGTGGCTTACCTTACAGTACCTGTCTGTAGCGTGACAGTGTGGCCTACCTTACAGTACCTGTCTGTAGCGTGACAGTGTGGCTTACCTTACAGTACGTGTCTGTAGTGTGACAGTGTAGCTTACCTTACAGTACTTGTCTGTAGCGTGACAGTGTAGCTTACTTTAGAGTACTTGTCTGTAGCGTGACAGTGTGGCTTACCTTACAGTACCTGTCTGTAGCGTGACAGTGTGGCTTACATTACAGTACTTGTCTGTAGCGTGACAGTGTGGCCTACCTTACAGTACTTGTCTGTAGCGTGACAGTGTAGCTTACCTTACAGTACTTGTCTGTAGCGTGACAGTGTGGCCTACCTTACAGTACTTGTCTGTAGCGTGACAGTGCCTCAGTGGCACGGCAGTGAGGTTGCTCTGGCAGGGCGTGAAGGGGTCCCAGTAGTTGTTGGAATCCTTCGTGTTCTCCGCACAGTCATAGCAGGTCAGATTGTTGATGAACTGATAGGTGAGAGGAAATGTCGCTCCGTCACCTGAAAGCATTGCAAATGAATTGTGAAGAATCACAATGCCAGCATATAAAAGATGACCTCAATAAAAGCGACAAAACCCTTTCCTTTTCCAAAGAGTCTATTGTACAATTCCGACTATATGACAAGTATGTGTTTATGAATCATTATCAAATAGTGATGATACCAGGTGTTCGCGGAAAGGTGAGGCGTTCGAATACGACGTTGGACCGTCAACATGTTACATACACAAGCGGTACGGCACACAGTGCTCCTAGTGCTGACGAGTTGTGATTTGTGAGTGACCAAACATATATCTTACTAACAAGATTCCTTAGGCCGTTAAATGAAAAATAATTATGACAACTAAAATGAATGGATGATACGAAGTGGTGTTCGGCCTCCCAACACGTGATACAAATACAAGACAAGGTGGAGGCGTGAGTGTGTGTGTGTGTGTGTGTGTGTGTGTGTGCGTGCGTGCGTGCGTGCGTGCGTGCGTGCGTGCGTGCGTGCGTGTGTGATTGACCTCTCCTGGCATTTTACTATAATGATTTTGCAAAAGATGATTGATTTTCTAGTAGTACATAGTTGATATATTCATATCAGTGATTAGAGACATATTTAGCTTTTCGGACAGCTCGATAGAAGTCCCATCTGCAAGATTCTTTACCGGTGCAATGTTTGGTATTTCACACTTAATACGTTTATTGAAATAACCATAACAGGTGATTTGCATTCGGAATTAAATAGATAATTATAATCAGGTTTGCATTATTGATTTTTCAGTCACAGGGACCAGTGTTTGTGTTACTTTGTCAGGAAGGGCCCTGACTCTGCGGTATTGGATGACAATGTGGAATTGAGTTGATGTTGTTAAATAATAATCCACATAATCACATCGATTGCACATCGATTGTGAGGCCAAATGATAATACAAATATTGCAACTTTATATCTGCCCACCATTGGACGTCAGGGTTTTGCTGCAAAGTTGACAGTGGTTGGAATGTCTAGATATGGCTGTCATGTGGTAATCTGTGAAGCTGTTTATTCAGTGACGAGAGGCCACAGAGGTTATCATTACACACGAAAGCGCATTTTAAAACACGTCAAAATATTAGTTTTAAATACAAACATATACGAATATACCAATCATGTGACAACACATTTATTAAAAGGAAGGATAGATGAACATATTTTGCCAAGACGTTAATAATCATTATGTCCCTTGATATCGTTAGCTCTAATTTAATGACTTCATATTTGGGAAGGTTGTCTACACATTGAGAATATACATTTGCCTAAACATATTATTCAAGGGGCTTTGAAGAAGGAGCTAACGCACATTTCCTGTACATCTACTTCTCAGACGTCTTGATGGTTGGGCGTCTATATTTGGCTGAAATATTGTAACTTCTATTAAAAGTTTTAACTTTTTGATAGTTAGACATCGGGTTTTTGGGTACAGTGTTGCTACATCTTGGTGGCTGGATGTGAAGATATGGTTGTAATGTTGCTACTTCTTGGTGGTTGGACGTCAATATATGGTTGTAATGTTGCTACTTCTTGATGTCTGGACGTCAAGATGTGGTTGTAATGTTGCTACTTCTTGGTGGCCGGACGTCGAGATATGGTTGTAATGTTGCTACTTCTTGGTGTCTGGACGTCAAGGTGTGGTTGTAATGTTGCTTCTTCTTGGTGGCTGGACGTCAGGGTGTGGTTGTTATATTGCTACTTCTTGGTGTCTGGACGTCAAGATGCGGTTGTAATGTTGCTTCTTCTTGGTGGCTGGACGTCAGGGTGTGGTTGTTATATTGCTACTTCTTGGTGGCTGGACGTCAAGGTGTTGTTGTAATGTTGCTACTTCATTGTGATTGGACGTCATGGTATGGGTGTAATGTTACTACTTCTTGGTGGCTGAACGTGAAGATATGGTTGTAATGTTGCTACTTCTTGGTGGTTGGACGTCAAGATATGGTTGTAATGTTGCTACTTCTTGGTGGTTGGACGTCAAGATATGGTTGTAATGTTGCTACTTCTTGGTGGTTGGACGTCGAGATATGGTTGTAATGTTGCTACTTCTTGGTGGCTGGACGTCCATGTGTGGTTGTTATATTGCTACTTCTTGGTGGCTGGACGTCAAGATGTGGTTGTAATGTTGCTACTTCTTGGTGTCTGGACGTGAAGATATGGTTGTAATGTTGCTACTTCTTGGTGGCTGGACGTCAGGGTGTGGTTGTTATATTGCTACTTCTTGGTGGCTGGACGTCAAGGTGTTGTTGTAATGTTGCTACTTCATTGTGATTGGACGTCAAGGTATGGGTGTAATGTTACTACTTCTTGGTGGCTGAACGTGAAGATATGGTTGTAATGTTGCTACTTCTTGGTGGTTGGACGTCAAGATATGGTTGTAATGTTGCTACTTCTTGGTGGTTGGACGTCAAGATATGGTTGTAATGTTGCTACTTCTTGGTGGCTGGACGTCAAGGTATGGGTGTAATGTTACTACTTCTTGGTGGCTGAACGTGAAGATGTGGTTGTAATATTGCTACTTCTTGGTGGCTGGACGCCAAGGTATCGGTGTAATGTTACTACTTCTTGGTGGCTGAACGTGAAGATGTGGTTGTAATATTGCTACTTCTTGGTGGCTGGACGCCAAGGTATGGGTGTAATGTTACTACTTCTTGGTGGCTGAACGTGAAGATGTGGTTGTAATGTTACTACTTCTTGGTGGCTGAACGTGAAGATGTGGTTGTAATGTTGCTACTTCTTGGTGGCTGAACGTGAAGATGTGGTTGTAATGTTGCTACTTCATTGTGGTTGGACGTCAAGGTGTTGTTGTAATATTGCTACTTCTTGGTGGTTGGACGTCAAGGTATGGGTGTAATGTTACTACTTCTTGGTGGCTGAACGTGAAGATGTGGTTGTAATGTTGCTACTTCTTGGTGGCTGGACGCCAAGGTGTGGTTGTAATATTGCTACTTCTTGGTGGTTTGATGTCAAGATGTGGTTGTACTGTTGCTACTTCTTGGTGGTTTGATGTCAAGATGTGGTTGTACTGTTGCTACTTCTTGGTGGTTTGATGTCAAGTATGGTTGTAATGTTGCTACTTCTTGGTGGTTTGATGTCAAGATGTGGTTGTACTGTTGCTACTTCTTGGTGGTTTGATGTCAAGGTATGGGTGTAATGTTGCTACTTCTTGGTGGCTGGACGTGAAGATGTGGTTGTACTGTTGCTACTTCTTGGTGGTTTGATGTCAAGATGTGGTTGTACTGTTTCTACTTCTTGGTGGTTTGATGTCAAGTATGGTTGTTATTTTGTTACTTATTGGTGGTTTGATGTCAAGATGTGGTTGTAATGTTGCTACTTCTTGGTGGTTTGATGTCAAGATGTGGTTGTAATGTTGCTACTTCTTGGTGGTTTGATGTCAAGATGTGGTTGTAATGTTGCTACTTCTTGGTGGTTTGATGTCAAGATGTGGTTGTAATGTTGCAACTTCTTGGTGGTTTGATGTCAAGATGTGGTTGTAATGTTGCTACTTCTTGGTGGCTGAACGTGAAGATGTGGTTGTAATTTTGCTACTTCTTGGTGGCTGGACGTCAAGATGTGGTTGTAATGTTGCTACTTCTTGGTGGCTGGACGTCAAGGTGTGGTTGTTATATTGCTACTTCTTGGTGGCTGGACGTCAAAGTGTGGTTGTTATATTGCTACTTCTTGGTGGCTGGACGTCAAGGTGTGGTTGTTATATTGCTACTTCTTGGTGGCTGGACGTCAAGGTGTGGTTGTTATATTGCTACTTCTTGGTGACTGGACGTCAAGGTGTGGTTGTTATATTGCTACTTCTTGGTGGATGGACGTCAAGGTGTGGTTGTAATATTGCTACTTCTTGGTGGTTGGACGTCAAGGTGTGGTTGTTATATTGCTACTTCTTGGTGGTTGGACGTCAAGGTGTGGTTGTTATATTGCTTCTTCTTGGTGGCTGGACGTCAAGGTGTGGTTGTAATATTGCTACTTCTTGGTGGCTCGACGTCAAGGTGTGGTTGTTATATTGCTACTTCTTGGTGGCTGGACGTCAAGGTATCGTTGTAATATTGCTTCTTCTTGGTGGCTGGGCGTCAAGGTGTGGTTGTTATATTGCTCCTTTTTGGTGGCTGGGCGTCAAGGTGTGGTTGTTATATTGCTACTTCTTGGTGGCTGGACGTCAAGGTGTGGTTGTTATATTGCTACTTCTTGGTGGCTGGACGTCAATGTGTGGTTGTTATATTGCTACTTCTTGGTGGCTGGACGTCAAGGTGTGGTTGTAATATTGCTACTTCTTGGTGGTTGGACGTCAAGGTGTGGTTGTTATATTGCTACTTCTTGGTGGTTGGACGTCAAGGTGTGGTTGTTATATTGCTTCTTTTTGGTGGCTGGACGTCAAGGTGTGGTTGTAATATTGCTACTTCTTGGTGGCTGGACGTCAAGGTGTGGTTGTTATATTGCTACTTCTTGGTGGCTGGACGTCAAGGTATGGTTGTTATATTGCTACTTCTTGGTGGCTGGACGTCAAGGTATCGTTGTAATATTGCTACTTATTGGTGGCTGGACGTCAAGGTGTGGTTGTTATATTGCTACTTCTTGGTGGCTGGACGTCAAGGTATGGTTGTTATATTGCTACTTCTTGGTGGCTGGACGTCAAGGTGTGGTTGTTATATTGCTACTTATTGGTGGCTGGACGTCAAGGTGTGGTTGTTATATTGCTACTTCATTGTGGTTGGACGTCAAGGTGTGGTTGTAATGTTGTTCTTCTACCGAAATGTTGAACTTCTTGATGGTTGGATGTTAGACATTGGCTTGAATGTCGAGCTTCTTGATTGCTTGGCTTCAATGTTTGATACAATGTGCTAACATCTGGATGGACAGGTGTTTACGGAATCTCTGCACTTGTACACAGCAGTCGTAATTCAAAATTAACATATCCTTGTCATTAGTTTCATCAAAACCAGTAAAACACGCAGTATCGTGACACTGGAGTTTTGGGTTCACCGCCCACATAAGTGTCTGGTTTGTTTACAGGTTGGTTGGTTGGTTTGTTGTTTAACGCGGAACTCAGCAATATTCCAGCTAAACGACGGCGGTATGTAGATAATCAAGTCTGGACCAGACAATCCAGTGATTAATATCATGAGCATCGATCCACGCAATTGGGATACGATGCCATGCATCAACCAAGTCAGCGAGCCTGACCACCCGATCCCGTTAGTCGCCTCTTACGACAAGCATGGTCGCCTTTTACGGCAAGCTAGTTGCTGAAGACCTATTCTACCCCGGATCTTGTTTACAGGCCGCCATCTGTACTGAGTATTGATGTGCGGCGTCAGGCAATAAAAATTTAATTATTTACTCAAATTGTGTGAATCGTGGGTGCTACTGGTAGGGCAGGACATGCCTATCTTTTACGCGAACACCTGGTGTCGTCACATTTTCAGTGGTCCATTCATATAGTTTTCACAACTAGTGTACCCATTACGCCAAACAGAACCTGATTAGGTGGATAATCTACACTGATTATTCCCTTGCATTGACAATTTATATATAATGCAAAAATGTAGATGTGCCTCAGTTAAGGTTAAAATATCCTAATAAATTGAATGAATCGAGGTTCATGGCATGATAGTAAGTTGAATGATAGTAAGTTGAATGATAGTAAGAGATTGAAGACATTAGATGTACAAACTTGTTTCTGATTGATTTCTATGATATCGTTGTTCCTAAACGGTGAATATGCTTGACAGAGCAAAAGAAAATGATACTCATGTTCGGCATGGTCAAGTCTAAATCTGACACAGTAAGGACAATAATCACCTGTTCTCAACCCTGTTTCCAGTTAAGAATAAGTACATTAGTGCGATTGATTAAACTAACTATTAAGAACATAAATATTCATGGTATAAACTCTCTTCCCTTCAGCCTCAAAAGTGCATCAAGTATTACTGTGCTTAAGTCTGGACTCAAAACATATCTTTGTGAACGCCACAACTGAAAGTGTATATTTTTATTATCTTACTGCCCCCTCTTTTGTATATACCTGTATGTACATATGCTGAATTTACGCACTGAGCATGTCCCTCGGTGATGTGGATTTTGCGCTCTACAAATAGCTTTAGTATTATTATCATCGTAATTATAAAACTCCGTCAGTATAAAACTCCGTCTGGTAATTTCAAATACATTTAAATATATAACAAATTTATACCTTATACTGCCTCAATACAATCCGTGTTTCTGGATGTAACGCTAGCATAGTGTCTATGTTCGTGGGGATTTCATCATCGCTAGAATCGTCATTCATCTGCCGTTATTGGAACACCAAGTCTCACACTGTCTTTCCATATATTTCATATCTACAGGAGCAGTCCTATTGTCTATCTACCTGCTTCAGCAAACACGTGTTTACTTCTACCAATTTTAGACAATCTACATAGTTCCTCTGTCACATGTCTGTCTATCTACCCTCTCTGTCAACCTGTCTATCTACCCTCTCTGTCAACCTGTCTGTCTATCTACCCTCTCTGTCAACCTGTCTGTCTATCTACCCTCTCTGTCAAACTGTCTGTCTATCTACCCGTCTCTGTCCACCTCTTTAGGTTACGCCTGTCTGTCTCTCCTATAGACATCCGTGACATACCTGTAAGTAGTCCCCCAGCAAGGATGACAGCAGCGAAACACGCCCTCACTAGTGACCGGTGCAGTAACTCCATGTTGTAGGTCCTCTATTGGCAAAGACGAGGGAACATCCACGGTAAAACCATTTCCAGAAGCATGTGTAAATCCGTCCCTTTAGAACCTTCCACAATCACATATAACGACCCTGTTCAGTTGATTATAAAAAAGTTACAATGCTTCATGGTTTGAATGTTTCCTCGTCACGCTGTGTTTAGATGTGTTTATGCCAATGTCCCATTGCTGAGATTCCCGCGAGAGTCGCTTTGGTGACGTCACAGTCACTACCCCCGTTTCATACGATCTCCGCGATGTAGCGCGTCTCCGATGCCCGGTGTTTGTATGATTAATTCACGAGACAAAGCTCAGTACACGTGAATCCTTCAAGCGGAAAGCTGATCAGTGAACACGGGCAGTAACTCCTCATCATTTGCTGAGGATGTGAATGGGATCTCCTAGCGGCCCACCATCCGGAAAATATCTACATCTCCCATCCCGTTTAGTTTGTCCTGGGAGAATTGATGGCGAACAAGCTGTTTAGAAGTTGTCACTGAGACACCATCTCATTTCATCTTAGTTTGGCTCACTTTTTTAACGGATACTGACACGTAGTTACACCGCCGATTGCTCAATCACGTTAGGGAACAATCCATACCCGAGACTGAAATAGTCACGCAGAGAGACAACAATTTGAAGTCTCTACGTTCCAGATCAGAAGTTCTTTACTGATATAAAGCATTGGAATGTGTGGCCATTGTATCGTGTTGGGTTGTTTTGTTTGGAGGCTGATTAGAAAATGTTCTGACAGGGGATATTTTCACTGGTGATTGATAATGTGCTACAACCGGTGTGTATTCATTGCCCTGGCGACGGGTCTGTGGCAAGTCTTTCAATTACTGCCATGAAATGAATCTCATTTGCATAATGGCACTTAACTGTTAGACGGAAGGACTTCCGTTTTATAGAGTACGCAAAAAACGCAGTATCGCATTAGCTACTTGGCTGCTTGTTTCGGTACGTACCTGTCATGGCAGTTGCTTCTGCGAACGTGTACATTTCGATTCCTGTCGATAGCTGAAGTGTTTGTCGACAGTTGATAGGACATAATCCGATATGTTTCTGACAAATGGTATTGACAATATCGACACGGAGCGGTGACGGGATATAAATTCTATATTTGTAAGGAACCGAGTGTTCCAGAAAATGCGATATTTCCAGAAGTTTGACTCAAGCGGTAGTACAGCTCCGTCGGAAAAGTCTGTACACGCCTCTACTTGCAATATTTAGTAATTGGCTTTTTGTGACAGTAAATATAGATTGATTGATTTCATGTTCATGAAAGTATTACGCATCAGCTTAAATCAAAACAGAGATGGGTATTGTGATGCTGCAACGCATTATATTAGTACTCGCCTGTCGTGGGTACGAATCCCAAAATCTCCATGATCATGATGCATGGTTTAGTAGCACTTCACCAATGACCACACATGTCACCAAAGTTATAATCTTCGTATTGCCATCCCATAATAAGCTGACACATTTTTCCATAAATAAAAGAAACAACAAACAAGGTTACACCCAACCCATTCACTCACCTAATGACCAAAACAAAATTTGAGAAAGAAATAATCACATTTTATCACTTTTATATGACGATAGGTTTACGTCGCATGTTATATATCTGTCGATAGAAGATGGACTTGTTTTTGTTTGTTTGTTTGGTTAACGCCGCAATCAGCAATAATTAAGGTATATGAGGGCGGTCTGTAAATAATCGAGTCAGGACCAGACAATCCAGTGATTGACATCATGAGCATCGATCCACGTTATTGGGATACGATGACATGCATCAACCAAGTCTCTTACGACAAGCATTGTCACCTCTTACAGCAAGCATTGGTTGCTGAAGACCAATTCTAACCCGGAATCTTCTCGGGACTGAGGATCGAACGATCGATACTCAAACTATAAATATCGCTTACGGAAAGCCGCGGATTGCTGAAAATCCACGTATATGCGCCGTGGGTATGCTGAAAACAGAAGTGGGGTAGAAACGAAGTTCATGGAAACACAATATCATCTCTTTGGATACGTTAGCAGGGTAACACTCATGACTTGCCACGGGCATGTCGTCCACGTGTGGCGTTACGTTAAAAAGACAACCATATTCAATTGGTGCAACTACGGAATCGATACTAAACTACCATGTTAACAGGTCGGACAATTCCAAGGTTGATACAACGTCACATGCCCAGCTTCTTGGGTTCAGAACACAGGGCTGGGATAGTATACTGTTCACATATGAGCCCAGGTTTGATCTGGACAGCTCTGATGGTCGTTAGAGGATCTACAGGCGTCCAGGAGAACGTTTTAGCTACGCTTGTGTTACTCAGCATCGCTAGTTTGAGGGTGGCCATGTAATGATATCGGGCGGCATCATAACTTATAGGAGAACACAACTGATTGTTGATATCAATTTGACGTACGCTACCGGGACGACATCGTTCGTTATGATGTTCTACCCTTTGTGCAAATGCAGGGACGTAACGTCACGCTGCGGCAGGATAATGCCCGCCCACAGACCTTTTGGGGCAGCATAACAAGGCTGTACTGCTCTCCCACAAAACATGTCTGGGATGTGATAGTAGGACGCCTACGACAGGACCAGAACCAGCCGGTGACACTAGCTCAGTTGGACCAATCATGGGTTGATATTTGGAACAATATCCCCAAGGCTTTTTTCAATCATCTGGTGTCTTCAATGCGCCGCCTTTCCAGACCTGTATCAACGCAAATAGTGGCCACACCCGATATTGACATTGTTAATTGAGATGTCACACCACCCCTCTTTTAGGGCGTGTATCTCTGTCTCCAGTTAACAGATATGGGTTTGTCAATACATTTGTTATAAAAAAAACTGGGTCAGACGAATGACCAAATATTATGTTGTTATTCTTAATAACATAGCATTTAGCACTTTATATGAAGCACAATTACTTTTTTCCGCTGGTATATATATCTCATTACATTATCGAGTTCTCTTTCTGAATTTCAATATTTAAACCGGATATGTAAATATGTTGTTTGATTAATGTGGAATTATTCTCTGTGACGTTCTTTCCAAGATCTACACATCAATGCAACACTAAGTATACACTTAAAAATTGGATTTGACCAAAACATTACAAACGTAATCAAAACGTTTGAAGACTGAAAACAGTAACAGAAACACCCCAAACGTAAGGACCAAAACTCAACAACGCTATGCGAATCAAATACAACTCTATTGAATAAGCATTTCGTAGTTGTTTTATTTTCAGCTACCATCTAACATGGGTGGGTACTTTATTTTACCCGGTAGTGTAGTCTCAAATACGTATTATAAGCAAGTACTTGAATAGGTGGGGCGGTCGGGTAGCCTAGTGGTTAAAGCGTTCGCTGGTCAAGCCGAAGACCCGGGTTCGATTCCCGACATGGGTACAATGTGTGAAGCCCATTTCCCCCGCCGTGATATTGCTGGAATATTGCTAAAAGCGGCGTTAAACCATACTCACTCACTCACTCACTCACTTGAATAGGTAACACCTATATATAACAGTTTAATAATAGTTGTTTTATACATAAAAATGATGAGGTCTAACTATAGAGTTTCCCCGTGCTTGCGCCCGCCTCACAACCCAGGTAGCTAGCATACCAACGCTATAAGTGGAAATCAATTCTAAATGCCATTATGTCGTTTGGGGGATCCTGTCAATATGGCTTGAATAAAGTTGGCGGCATATTTCGCTGTTAAATGAATCTATCGATAATTACTATTGATTCCGTGGTCAATACCACCTCCCTAACTGCTACCCGGCGACCGTTAATAAAGTTTTATCAAGGCCTTCCCAGAAAGGATTTTCTTTATTATTCCCTGTCAGGAGAACTTTATTGTGTCAGGGTGTATCCTGTGGTGCTGCTGGAGAGATACCTGGGGAAGGTGTCGCGGTTAGAAAACAATGTGTTAATGCAGGCGTTTGTAGTCAGCAATATTACAGCTATGTGACGGCGGTCGGATGCGTTTAATAGGGCAATGGGGCAGGCCGATATAGGTTAATGGTGTGAGTATTGATCCACAACGTGTGGGTGTGATGGGACACTACGTCAGCAAAGTGTCGCTTACATGATTAGGTACCTACATGTACTCTGTTTCTGGAAAAGGTGCGGTGTGTTCTGTGAGGCGTGCAGCATGGGATACGTTGTAGGCGGTTTGTGGTTCGGGGTGTGCGGTGTGCGGTGTGCGGTGTGCGGTGTGCCGCTTGCGAGATGTGTGGCTTACGATGTGCCGTGTGCCATGTGCTTCTTGCGATGTACGGCGCTCGATGTGCTGTGTGCGGAGTGCGTCTTGTGATGTTAGGTATGTGGTGTGCAGTGTGTGGTGTCCAGTGTGTGGTGTGCGGTGTGCTTCTTGCAATGTACGGCGCTCGATGTGCTGTGTGCGGAGTGCGTCTTGTGATGTTAGGTATGTGGTGTGCAGTGTGTGGTGTCCAGTGTGCGGTGTGCAGTGTGCGGTGTGCGGTGTGCAATAGTTGATGTGCTGTGTGCGGCATGCGTCTTGCGATGTTAGGTATGTGGTGTGCAGTGTGTGGTGTCCAGTGTGTGGTGTGCGGTGTGCGATGTGCGATGTGCGGTGTGCGGTGTGCGGTGCGGTGCGGTGTGCAATAGTTGATGTGCTGTGTGCGGCATGCGTCTTGCGATGTTAGGTATGTGGTGTGCAGTGTGTGGTGTCCAGTGTGTGGTGTGCGGTGTGCGATGTGCGATGTGCGGTGTGCGGTGTGCGGTGTGCGGTGTGCGGTGTGCGGTGTGCTATAGTTGATGTGCTGTGTGCGGCATGCGTCTTGCGATGTTAGGTATGTGGTGTGCAGTGTGTGGTGTGCGGTGTGCGATGTGCGGTGTGCGGTGTGCGGTGTGCGGTGTGCTATAGTTGATGTGCTGTGTGCGGCATGCGTCGGACAATGTAAGATGTGCGGCTTGAGATGTGCGGTTTGCGTGGTTTGAAAAAGTACATACAAGTAAAGCTTGAGACAGGCCGTGTGCGGTGTGCGGTGTGCGGTGTGCGGTGTGCGGAGTGCGGTGTGCGGAGTGCGTAGTGCCGTATGCGGAGTTCGGTTTGCGGTATGCGGTATGCGGCGTGCGATGTATAGTATAGTAAATATAAGAAACGGTTTTAACATTTTGTTTCGGTTAAACAGATTTTCTTTTATTGATTACGCATATTATTTTACCAGAACGAAATAGAGTTTGTCGGGGTTTTAATTGATTTTCATCAGGCATACGCTAGTGTTTGTGTACATTTTACATAGGATAAATTAGATTTTTACCCAGCAATCGTCATAAAGACAATTCTTATGTTTGATTCCCGTTAATCATGTCATGTTTGTTGTGCATTGTGCAAATCACGTACAAAGTGTTGGAAACAAGAGTAGAGACACTGACTATAAAAAAACGTACAAAATTCATCAGTTCATTACGAATTTTCTGACGTGAACGGATATCGAAAAATGCCAAGATTGACTGCAGCTGACCGAAATATCGCCATTGGACGTTTGGAAGCAGGGGAGTCCCAGTCTGCCGTTGCAAGATGCTTCAACGTTCACCAAAGCACCATATCTCGACTATCGATATACCCGCATTAATTCGACTCAAGATCATCCCAGAAGTGGAAGACCAAGAGTGACCACCCCTGCTCAGGATCGGTACATCCGGTTGCATCACCTTCGGAATCGATTTG